ATTTTGATTGAAAATTTATTACGATTTTTGAAATTTTATTACGAATTGTGAAATTTTATTTCTGTTTTTCAAAATGTGTAATATATTGATTTTTCAAAATTTATTTTAATTTTTTTTAATCTATTTCGATTTTCAAAAACTTATTTTGATTTGCGCAAACTTTTCTACAACCAACTTATCACGCAACAATCTCAAACAAATTGCTACAAAATCAAACCTAATTGGCTTTGTTGCGCTTTTTCTTTACTTTACTGTACTTTTGCAGTAAAATAGTTAAATTTAACTTGAAATTTACAACAAAAATTGAAGTTTTGCAAAAATTTCCACTCAAATACTTGCTTCAGACGTTTCCACTACAAAGCCACTAACACACTCGACAGCCACAAAAACAATTTAGCTTGAAACGTCAACAACAACAAAAACAACACTTTGTATGTACCGTAGATATACTATGGAATCTAAATATAAGAAATTTGCGTAGAAATTTAGAAACCATATAAATCAATTAGTCAAGCTTGAAATGAACCTGGCAACATAAATCGCATGCATTTGAGGCATGTGCTAAGTATTATGGCAAATTAAGCGAGTAAATTAATTGTGTGTCGATGTAGAAGGCGCTAACAAAAGTAAATTGAAATGCAAATTACAAAAAAAATGCAAGAGAGTAAGTTTTAGTAACACACAGACACACACACACACGCATAAACAATCGAAATCGAGTAAATTTAATGAGAGAAATGAAAGCAGTAATTGCATTTGAAAGCAAATATGTAAAACTAATTTTAACGAAGCTACTGCATTTCCATGTATGTATGTATGTTTATGGGGGCGCCGAGAGGAGCAAAAATTAAATATTAATTACTAGAATAAATAAAAGTATTGAGAGATTTCCAAATAAAAAACACATATCTAAAAATTAATTGCAATGCGTTTTACTTTTGATCGCCATGTGTTGAGTTGATTATTCATTGTGGGGAGAGGTGAGTAAATGTGGGAAATATGTAGCACTTTGAATACACTTACTATACCCTGAACAAAATTAGTATATATCTATACTTGTATATCTTTCTGCAGTACACAAAGAGCATTCGGCGATTTTTCAGATGAGTAAAATTATTCATCAAAAAAGTTCCATAAAATTTTGTATGCGTAATCGAATTTCTGGTGCCGAAACTTGCAGAACGTTGTGTTTTTTTATTGGTACAAATAATTCAAAGAGGGTCGAGAACGCATTGATGATTAATCACATGCAGGACGGCCATCAACATCAACTGGTGATCAACACGTCAATAAAATAAAAGAATTGTCTTATAAAAAAATTGGTCTTATAAAAAATCAAAGTTATATTGACAGTTCTCTTCGATTATCGAGGTACGGTGCACTCCGAATTCCTTCCAATCGGCCAAACTGTCAACAAGGAATACTATTTGAGCGTTATGTGTTCGTAAAAAGAGCCCGGAATTATAGATTCAAAACTAAAATTACTGAAATTGACTTTAATTACTTTTCGAAGAATTGAAACAAACCGTTGACATAGGTGTGTTGAGACCAAAATAAGGTAATATCCGGTTATCTTATGCCACAAAAAGCTGGATAAGAGTCAAAGTGGTGTTCCTACCAAAAATCCCTCCTTTCTCCGCTTTTACGAGTATAGGTGACCGCACTGAATGAAATACTAATCCAACTCAATGGAGGAGGAGCTAAAGCAGAAGCACATGCAGCCGATATAATGCTAATGATATCAGGAGATTATGGAAAGAGCCTTACGAAGGTTGTACATATGGGCCTCAAGTTAGTTGTAAACCCTATTCACTAATAATAAAATACCTCAATTTCAAATTTTCTCACTCGATAGTACTATAATGTCTCTATCCCAAACGGCAAAATATCTAGAGGTCGAGATCGAAATCAAACTGAGCCGGAAAATGAATATATAGAAAATATTAAAAAAGCTTATATGGCATATAACACGTGCAAGAGAATACTCGACAGGAGCTGGCGGCTAACATAACAATGTGATCTATACGGCTATCATTATCCAGTTCTTACATATCAAGCACTAGTCTGATAGTCAGCATTAAAGGGAGAATATAAAATCAGAAAATTAAATGGAATACGGAGAGTAGTCTGTGCAGAGCTTCCGGGTTTACAGACTCATGTCCGACTGATTCGCTTAATATTCTCCTGCTACAACTGCCCATAGATATTTTCATATGAAAAGTAGCAACAATTTCTCCTTAAGAATCATGGAAAAAGAAAGTGTTGTGAGCATTGCAATATCTTTAACCAACTTGAAATAAAATAAAATAGATCAGTCTATATCCTTCCTAGGATGGTTCTCAATGGTAGCTTCAAGGTGAAAAATAGCCTATAGATGTGAATGGAAAAGAGATTTAAAGGCTGATATCACGCTCCTTCAGTATACCAAAGTTAGCTAGCATCTTACAAGGGAAATACTGGGCATAGAGAAGACCTGTGGAGTTCTACTGAATAAACACATGTAACCAGACGATATTCTTAGACTAGTTATCGCGTGGTCACTGGCAGAGCCATACTAACATAGGAACATTTTCGGCAACAAAAATCAAACGAGTTGGCTAAAGCAAAGGCCTCTAGACGACTACACCATGCCCGCTAGAAGAGATCAATCAGAACAGATGGAATTATACAACCCAATGCAAGATTGCGAAACAGATATGGAAAAATGTGACAAGATATGAAATAAGGTTATATTAAACATAAATGTACAGACAAACAACCTCGATAACAGGATATTAGTCATTTGAAGGACAAGAAATAAAAATCTGAATGTCCAATAATAGGTGCTTGCTGTTGATGCAAACTCGAAGGGAGCAAGAAAACGGTTCTACTCTTCCTCTGTAAATGCCCAGCTCCATCCTAATCCCGATGTAGAACTTTTATAATCTATCAGGTACTAAACCTAGAATGTCTATTTACAAAAAGCATAACAGAGTGAAGTGGTTTCACTGAGGGCACCAAATCGTCTGAACACAGTAATGAAGCTAGAGAAGAATATTTACAAGTTTTTAAAAATAGCATATCAAATCAATATTTGATGGCCTATTTAGCGCTAATTGAGCCCGTAATTACACTCTCAGCCACCCTACAAACTGGGTGACCAAAAGCAAGTTCTTGTATAAAATACCATCTTATTTTTAACAATCTCCGATCAAATTCTTCAGATCGTAAAGTATTTAAATTAATAGGAAATTTGAGCTTATACTTAGTGCTTAGTTAAAGGCATTCCCGTTGTAAACATCTCAGATAGTTAAATATTTATTTTAGCACAGACAAACTATGTCGCCGAGATAACGCTGTGGGCCAATGCTACCACAAATGACTAAGCACATCTGACTCAAATCACATGCCATGGAATAAACTTTCGCAGCATCACGTGCATTCGAAATTTCTCTATGGGAACCAGCTAAAATCTCTTCATAAGCTATTTAAATAATTTCATGCTTGCTCAAATAATAAAAAGTCACTAAGTTTAACTAAAGCAATACAATTTATTGCCATGCCAAGCCGTTACTTTAGCGGGAATTTCATAAGAATTTGAAATTAAGTCCGAAAACGCACATACACGTATATTCTTGCAGACCATTTTGCTCTACATACATATAATTTCGTGGGTGAATAGGGCGCTTAAAATGGGTAGCTTTTGAAATTAGTTATTACGGTGTCTCATAACAAAAATATACAATATAGTTCATTAATATTATTATGAATTGTTTTTTGTTTTCTTTCAATCTCTTTTTACTTCTTTTTTTTTTTTTTTTTTTTTTTTTTTNCTGAATGGAATTATGTGCTATATACGAGTAATGTACATATGTAAATTAGTAGATTTATTCGATTAATCGCCATCAGTTTAGCTTACATTCTATGACAATAACACAAGCAACCCAGTTTTCGTTTCGAAAGGGGGTGAGTATATACTTACTACTTGTATATACACTAAGGTGTGTGACCATCAGATAAGTGGTGGAAGTGCCCCAAGCAATAAAATATTTGATTCTGAGCTACTAATGCTGTGACCAAAGCGAAAGACACAAAGTCATGCTTTTAAATTTTGCGGATAGTTCATGTATGTATATGTAGTGTGTGTGTATGTGTGTATAAGTATGTGTATCAAGTACCCTAGTAAATAGTAGTATGAATATGAGAGTATAATTTAAGAAGCATACTTATGAATATGCCCACATACTTATAACCATGAGCGTAATGACCGAGTGTCAGTATATAAAGGAACAATATAGAAGTAATATGTATTATACACACCCTGTACACCCTGTAGAAATATTTGTACAGAGATGGAAAAAACGCTATTTTTATCATTTCCCATCATTTCTTTGTAATAGCATAGGAACTTAAGTAAAAAAAGCTGCAAAATTTGGGAACAATAGAGGCTTAATAACGACCTAGCTTTAATAATTCCAGAAGGCAACTGAATTGTAAACACAAGGCAAATAATTTAATTATTCATCAATATTTATTTTGTCGCCTTTAAAGTAATCAGATTTAATACTCTTATATCGACGATTTTTCCAGTCTTTGAAACACTTCTCATTAGCACTTTTTGGGGTGGCCTTCAGCTTCTTCAGCATAAGAGCGTCAATCTCAGTTTGGGGGAAAAATAAATGAATTTTGTTTTTAATTTTTTTATGTACCTATGCAATAAGTTTACACTGTTTCATCAGCCTGAATCTTAAACCCTCTAGTGCCTACTTAAAAACTAAAAAATCTAACTTACAGGGTTGTATCTGTACGCATATAGTATATGTATGTATCACCACAAATATGACAACAGGTCGGTAAGCACACTTCGGCTGTTGTAGGTACGTACATATTTAAATATCAAAGTACTTACTTAAGTACCAAAAGACACTTTCGCAGGCACTTATTCGCTTATCAATGATGCCGCCTATTATATACTAAACGGCGGCTATCTACAGATGCACTTCCATGTGCATTATAAAGTCATACATATACATACATATGTATATATATGTAGATCTTTGTCGGATTTTTAGTTTTGCTTTTAAATTATTAAATTGCTTTTGTTTGTTGTCGTATTCCTCAGTCAATTGTCTTTTGTAGGACTTTTCTCTCCAACCCGACGGTTCGGTTATTTCTTAGTATCAAACTAAACGTATGTGCACTCGCTTCGTATAATTCGGAAATCAGCTTTAATAAACAAAGTTTTTGCTTGAAAAAACGTATATTCCTTATTTTTATATTCTTCCAGGCTTTTTCAAAGTGTCTTGCCTTAAAATATATACGCGCGGAAGAGAAAAAAGGGAAATTTGAAGTTAAGTCAGTATCAGTGACAACTACTTAAAGGTAAAAATCATATAAAATTTTTTTGAAAAGCCTTAGTGATAATATAGATCATCATAGAAATATACCATAAAGAAATACACAACGTGCAGTTTTTTCTGCAAACGGCTCAAGTAACGGTAATCGTGGATTAAGTACATGCAACACTGAGTAAGCCATTTCCTCGATATTAATATAGAAAAAATCATTCGTGTCGATTGTTGTGACCTAACCTTACAAACTTGGAAACATGTTTGTGATACTATAATATGAATAACAATAATTTTTTTGTACAAACGGGTTTCAGAAATTTTCGAGTTAAAAATACCAAGCAGTCTCACAATATTGAGGTAGAAGCAATATGGAATCTCGAATAAAAATACAATTTTTTTAAGCTATTTTTTCCAAGTTCTTCATCCAACCTTTGTGCGCCAAGCGTTTTATTTCTTTCCATCTTATATATAGCTTATCATTCGCTTCCTTAGCCATGAGTCAAAAGAAAAAAAAATTATGCGTTCGGTTTACTTACACAATTTGGATACTTCAGTTTTCATTCGATTGCTACGCAGCTTTTAGAATAATGCCATTTTATAGACAGCGGTAAAATCTGATCGGATTGCTATGATCTATTTTGAATATAATGCCCGTAGACATCTACGGAAGGTGCATGGCTGCGAAAATGGCTATTAGACTCAGAAGATCTGGGTTCTTAAAAGAACACTTTGACTTCACACTGCATCACTTAGATCATATAGTTTCAAAACCAAACTCGAGCGGCTCTTTCTCTGCCTATATACCGACGAGGGAGCTATGGGTGGGAAGAAGCCGTTGTAGAAAAGGGGCAGTTACCCTTCAACTCATTTACAGTTCGTTCAGGGTTGATTGAAGAGTGCCTAACCTCGCTATCAATGGTATCGAGTGTCTTTGTGATAAGGCTGGTGTGGGTGCCGGACCATAGCGGAATCGCACCTTTTAAAAGATATTAACAGTTAAAGTTTTTTTTTTTTTCTTTTTTTTTTTTTTTTTTGTTTGATACTCCACAAAATGGGTTCCTAGTCACCTCTAAGGAAGCCTCTCCAAGAATGAGTTTTTAATTGTAACGGGAAGGTCCTCCTACTTACAATTTTCTATTTCTTCTTATTATCATTTGGAAAACTTTATATATAGCTCCCAACTACTTGCAAATATATCTTGTTTCTTAGATTTTGTAGAAAATTTAATGCTCTACAAAAAAGGTTTATACGATTTTTTTGTAAACCCAACCTTTTAAAAGATATTAACAGTTAAAGTTTGATTATTTTTGGGAAAATTTTTTATTTCTTATGAATTTTATAACTCAATGAAATAAAATCATTATGAATAATGAAACTCATAGTTTTATAGGAAATTTACTGCTCTATAAAAATGGTCTCTTATGATTTTTCGATTAAGTTAAGCGTTTACGAGATATTCATCGTCAAACATCAATGCATATTAGGGTGAATAAAAAAAAGGTCGTTTGGTATTCAGAAAGCCTCTCAAAAAACCTAACTGCTAATAATCTTTTAAACGGTTGGGTTTACGAAAAAATCGTAGAGACCATTTTTGTAGAGCATTTAATTCCCTACAAAATCTAAGGGACAAGATATTTTTTCAAGTAGTTGGAAGCGAGATATACCATAAAGTTTTCTATATGATAATAAGAAAAAATAGAAAATTGTAAGTAGGAGCACCTTCCCGTTACGATTAAGAACCCATTCTTGGAGAGGCTTGCTTAGAGGTGTCTAGGAACCTATTTTTCAGAGTACCAAACGAAAAAAAAATGTTTTTGTTTTGTTTTGAATCACCCTAATATATACTTATGATCCAGAATACAATATATTTACAGCTTTCCTTACATACCATATATTCACTCCTTTGCAAACGAAATCACTGCAACTTTTAATTAATTTTGCACTTTGCGATCTTCGTATAATCAGTTGTGATGATTGACACCCATAACAATATTATATTTTAGAAACAAATTTGTGTAACTATTGATATTAAAAGCACATATGTACTTACATATGTATGTAAATACAATTAACCTACGTTGAAAGTTCTATTTTTATGAATGATCGCTTTATTTTCATTGCCTGTCATATCAACTTTGCGGCGGTGTGTAATCAAGAGGATTTTTCGTAAATATATAATATTTCACCGCTTATCATTTTTTACCACTTACTGCTTAGGGGCCTATTCGAATATACTTACATACAATACATATATAGACACATTTACCGTTGTATGTTTCTCTGTTTCTTATCTACTGTATTATGCTATCATAAAGTATGCAGCCCGTTCAGCGCGTCATTAGCAATTATGACGTTGCAAATTGTTTCCCATACCTGCCTAATTTACTTATATCATACATACATATGTATATACAAGTATGTATGTATATAATGTAGTCCAACGGCATGTAATTTGTCATAAAATAGTCGCCATAAATCATATCGCTTACAGTAATTATCACCGTAATAATAGTGCAACATTATATTATTTTCATAGACGAATGCGTAAAAGATAAATTTTAATTATTTAATAAATTACATAAACAATAGTTAACTGTAGTACACGCTCGAGTCTTGTCAATGCCCCTGCGCGCCACAAGGCAATGCAACGACGATTATATCCGCAACAGATTATGCCTCAAGTGGCGTCCTGTGACGCTCACAGGTAAGAGTGCTCTGATATTGCGTAGTAAATGTGATCGGGTGCTCAGGCATTGGCATTCCTTATCTAAGGTCTAGACAAATAATAATAATAGTTACAGCTATGTATGTAATATTCGTCTCCTATAGGTATTTGCATTTGAAATGAGTTTGTAAATGTGTAAATTTAAGAAGACATCTCAATGCATAGCAAGATTTCTAGTTCTAGGAAAGGTTTACAATTTGTAATCTCTGTATATATACTCTGTCAACACCGATAAAATGTCAACACCATGAAACGCCGTTAAATAGTATCACACTGGGTAAATGGCCTATAATAACGCTCCACTATTGTACTTCAGACATTTTTATGGATTTAACAATGTTGGTTTTAGGGTAACAAAATAATATGGCTTAATTATGTTATAATTAGAATTTAGACCATACTAAACTATTTTCAAAAAAAGTTTTATAATATACATATACGATCTTAAGATTGTAATGTAAAGTTTGTACTCCAAAGTTAGTATCATTATAGTAAAATTTTGAGCATTTGCGATGATAGAACGGTGAACAACAAATTTTCGTGAAATTATAGTACTTTCCTTAGCCAAAAAATGTCAAGGTTTCGTCTTTGATTCCATTGTAGAAACATATTCACAATATGTGACAAGGTCTTATGACGAATTGAACGATTTTTATGCAACCAGAGGTATAGTTATAACTTACAAAACCCTTCATAAGCAATGCTTATTTTAAATACTGGAAGGTCGAATACCTTTTGTTACACGAAATACCCAAAAATTGGAAAAAAAACAAGCTAAAAATAACAATTTGCGCAAACAAATCGATGTAAATCCAGTACATATTCCAAGAAATTAAAGAAAACCCGTTATATAGAACGAATGAATACTGCAAGTCCTAAAAACACTTTTTTGAAAAAATTTAATATGGACTTATATTTAAAATTTGCTGATACAGTTGATAAACGAATTTACTAATATCTTTCAGGCTTTCAGATATGAATGGAATTGATGAATGATTGGGTGGATTCCGTATTTTTGTGGTCCGATCTGAAAAATTACTTCGAAGGTTGTACCGTTAGTTTGGACAGTAAACCCTACCAAATTTCGTGAAGAAACCTCATCAAATAAAAAAGTTCCCCACAATAGGCCTTGATTTTAATCGTTGGGTTTGTATCGGCAGTTTCGACTTCTGAGCAGCTTCTTCTGGAGGAAAAGACTTGTGCGAAATTCCAGATCCATATTTCAAAAACCAAAGACTAGTTCGTGTATATACCAACGAACAGACGGACGAACGCAGATACTGCCATGGCGACATCGACTCAGCCCATCACGCTGATCATTTATATATTAAATATATGCACATATACTTTCCTTCTGGGTGCTAAAAACTTCGTGGAAAATTTAATATACCCCCTTTAGGGTATAAATATAAAATCCATAGCAATTACCTAACATATTATGAGTATTATAAATTCTTAACCGTCGCGTAAGCGTAAGACTGCTTAATCAATAAAAGTGTTTCTATAATCTCGGAAATGAATATAAATTGTATTGACGTCATTATCTCCGTATACCCTAATGGGGTCTATGCATACGCAGCCACCCACCCACCCACTATCTACTTAAGTGCCCACTCTAAATTTCCGACAAAACTTCTCGAAATAGAGCTCTTGCAATTTTTCGCGTAAACCGATTATGTGCACAGTCATGAACGAATCGTAAAGCGAGTCTAAATTTTTTTACAATTTCAACTGATAAAGCGAGCAAAAGGAATTTGTGGATCGCCAAACGTTTTTTAATGACATTCCGACATATGTCAAGAAGAAAGTACTATTTGCTTGTGTACCTACATACAGTACATGAAAAAAGTTTAGGCACAAAGTGACATTCCTAGCAAAGCTCTCTCAGCTTTTGCCGAGTCATCAAAAATATGTGTGGTCCAGTGTTGTCCTGATAGAAGACGAAGTCCTTTCTCTTGATCTGTTCTGGCCGTTTTTTTTTCGATTCCTCGCTTCAATCTCATCAGTTTTTGACAGTAAAATGTAGAACCAATAGTTCAACCACGCTGGATCAGCTCATAATGGATGATTCCTTTCCAATCCCACCAGTCGCACCGCATAACCTTTCGAGGCGTCAACCCTGACTTTGCGACCATTTGTTGAGCTTCACCACGTTTGGACCAAGATCGTTTTCACACACTATTGCCATATTTGATCCACTTTTTGTCTTCTGTTAGCATTCGCTTCAGAAATGGTTCCATTTCCTTTCCTTTCAGTAAAGAATCTCAGATGTTAATTCAGTTCATTAAATTTTTCACAGACAATTCATGTGGAACCCAAAGAGCCAACCTTTTTTAAGTGGTTCAAAACCATTTGATGATGAAAGTTAAGTTCCTTGGCTGCTTATGTTCTGCTCAATCTTTTTCATAATTTCATCCACTTTTTCAACAACAGGTCGACGAGGACGAAATTTC